CTTTAAGTAGCTGGATTTTATGGGGCTGCTCTGGGCCTGCTTTCTGAGTCCAGACCCTGAGTCCTGACTGCCTGTATTGGAATAACCCAGTGCTGCCACTTGCTTGTTGTGGCTGTGGACAAGTTTCAGTTTCCTCGGTAGAGTGGGAATCGTAAAAGTGTCTGTAGCACATGGTGATGCGAAGGCCAGACAGGCGATGCAGAGTGCTCCAAGCATGTCTGGGCTCTTCTAAGCACCATCGCTGTGCGGGTGATGCTTAACTGAAGAGACACTTCCCAGCCCAGAGGAAGCAGTGAAGGGTTCACTCCTCAGCTCCCCACCTGTCCAGCAAGGGAAGGTTGTCCTGGGAATGATGTCACGGAAAGTGTCGAAGGACCTGTCACATGCTCCCAGCAAGGTGGCATCTGGAGAACCTAAAAGCTTTCTGAGGTTTCTTAAATGGTGGGAACAGAGAGGGTCCCCTAGGTGGCACGTTTCATGACAGCTTAACCTTTGTGTCTCCACTGCCCAGCAGAGCCAGCCGGAAGCAGGCACCCAGGAAATATTTGTTAATGACTGAACGAGGGACTGAGTGAAGGAGAATGGCTTGTGGCCATTAGTTGGGGAAGGGGGAATATTGGCTTTTCTTTGAGTTTAAGGTAGTAGGAAGTTGAAAATATGTATTAATGAGGTTAATTAATGGTTAACAACTAAGTAGCTTATTACATTAACTTAAATTGGACACATTAGGTTGGATGCTTACTGTTCCCTGTCGGAATCGATGTGTTTGGAGACTGTACTCATTAGGCATGAAAGAGTGAGGCCTCCTTGAGGCCTTTGTCACAGGGGAGTAGAGAAGTCCTTCAACTTACACCTCTGTCCCAGTTGTCAGTGATTTAAGGGTCTCTAAACCAGGAATGTGCCTGTATTAGGGCAGCAAGTCAGGGTGCCAGGAGACTGGGTCACCACAGAGAGGTCCTGGGAGGCTCTGGAGGGAGCTCGGTGCCCCTTGCTGATCCTGGCCTTCTGTTCTCTGATGGTACACTCCTCCCGCTCACTCGCAGATAGCCAGTGGCCTGCAGCCCTGCTCTCCCTATCTCCCCTCTAGGTGTTTCTCTCACTTCCTTTGCCCTGGATGCTTTGGGTTTTTGTGGGACTGCTCGCAGAACACACCAGGCTCCTTCCTAACTTAGGATCTGGTCCCTGCTGTTGAGTATCCTCCCATGTCACCATACAAGTCCCTTTTCATTTCTAGAGTCCTGAGCATTCTGTCTGAGTGGCACCCCCATCCCTGCTCCAACACTGAATCCCCTTTTCATGCTTGATTTTTCTTTTGATCAGGCATTGTGTGTGTGTGTGTGGGGGGGGGCTGTATGTGTGTGTGTTTGAGTTTATCTGTCTTCCTCTCCCAGTAACACATTGTTGGTCCAATTGTGATGCCCAGAACATCGGCCCCAGCAGGAATTCAGAAATCTATTAATATGTTGAGTAGGTATTGCAGTTTCTTTTACATAAGATCAATCTGGGAATAATTCCAGGATCAAATTATGACTCTTTAGTGCAGGAACCAAGATAACCCTGTTTAGAAAATGATAGTGCATTCAACACTATCAGGATATGCATAGAAAAGAGAGCCCAGTTTATAAGTGTATAGGGGAGAGGTTTTTTTTTTTTTAAATCTTATTTTGTTCCAAAGATTTACCTTTAAATTGTTTATTTGGAATTGAGAGCATACAACATTTTGTAAAAAGGGATTTTTTATACAACCAGCCTTTCATATCCATGTAGGGAGGATTTGACTGACATCAGATTGAAAATATTTGGAAAACAAGTTGCCTGTGTACTGAACTTGTTCAGATTTTTTTGTTGTTATTTTTCCCAAATAATATGCCCTAACATCTGTTTACATAGCATTTATATTTTATTGGGTGTTATAAATAATCTAGAGATGATGGAAAGTGTATGGGAAGATGTGTGTAGTGTATGTGTTGATACTTCACCATTTACCCAAGTGACTGAGCATTTGTGGTCTTTGGCATGGGGGTGGGTATTGGAGCCAGTTTCTCACCTACAGAGGGACCACTATATTGACCCCAAAGAATACCCACCTCAAAATCAAGAATTCAGCCACATATGAAGAAAACACTTTCTGATAGATAACCCTGCTATTTTATTTATTTATGTCTCTTCCTTTTTTAATAGAAAAGTTTAAGTTAGCTTAAGGAATAGTATTTCATTTGAGTAACAACAAACATTTCAAGTCTGTTGTTAAGCATTGGGAACGCAGTGCTGAGCAAGACAGACACCATCTGTCTTCTCGGCAGTCTCCCAGGGGAGGCACTCATTAAACACATAATTATACAAATAATTATTAAAATATGTAATAAGAACTATGAAAGAAAAATAAGGAAAGCTAGAAGGTGTTTCTTTATAGGCTGGTCATCCCACAACTTCCCCTCTTCTACTTCTCAAGTCATTACTTTTTCTAAGAATGTTCCAGGGAGTTTGCAGTCAGACCCACTGCTGTGGAGAGTCCAGCAGCTGGGGAGGTGGGAGGAGAGGCCCAAGGCCACTGTGTCTGGAGTGGGTTGCTGTGAACTTAGGTTCCTTGTTATAGTTGAGTCCTATTATTGTATGAGCCCATGTGAAAAATCATGGGTTGACCTAAACAGGTAAGCAAAGCCGTAGGAATCTTCCTTTTTCTTGTTTTTGCCTGACAGCTTTGCTGAGGTTCTTTATATTCATAGGTGATTCAGAAGTTTTAGTCTCTGTGGTCTCTGTCTTTTTCTTGAGTTTCATGTCTCCTGTGGGCATGGCCATGTCTTCTGTAGGAAGTCTTCCGTTGAGTTTTCCATGCAAGTCTGGAAGTTTTAGGACAGAAATTATCAGATTATATTCCAGAGATTTAAATGCAGATCCCACAGTGGTTGTGAACTTAGGCTCCAGAGTTAGACAAGGGTTCAGATTCCGGCCTCGCTTGAGCAATTTAGTCCCTTTCCCTGAGTCCCACTTTCCTCTTCTAGTGTGTGTCAGGGGCAGGACAGGAAGGCACTGGTAGCACCTGTCCCTTGGACTGTTTGGGGTAAACTCCATCAAGCGTGTAAGACTGTTAGCACAGGACCTCGCACCAAGGGAGTCTGCAGAATGTCGTGTGGAGCTGTTATTCCTGTTACTGTGGCAGCGCCTGAAAGAGGGCTAGCAGACGCTGTCCTTTCAGGGAAGTGCTCCTGGGGAGGGCAGATGGTGCCAGGTCTTTGCCCAGGATCACAGCCCAGAAAGGGGAAGATAATTCCCTCTGTACTAAATGGCCTGGGCTTCTACGACTCTGGCTAGTATTTGTTAATATCACTTAATTTTTCAATGTTATAATCATTATGTATCCTTGGATATAATTACCAACTTAACACCTTATTTTTCCCCTTTGGAAAAACTTTATCCACATTTAAAAAACCCAGCTTACAGAATAAAAATGTAAAAACAGGGATATCATATTTAGAAGTGAGAAATGTCAGTCCTAATTTTATTCACAGTTTAGGTAATCTGAAGCCATGAGGCCATTTTCTGGGACAATTTGATTTTCCCAGGGTCTGGAAGGCCTGTGTAGGGTTTTGTCAAGACAAAGGTGGAGGGCTGGGGATGTGGCTCAGTGGTAGAGCGCTCGCCTCACATGTGAGAAGCACTGGGTCAATCCTCAGCACCACATAAAAATAAATTAATTAAATAAAGGTATCGTGTTCATCTACAATTAAAAAAATATTAAAAAAAAAAAAAGACAAAGGTGGAACTCAGGCAGAGCCGGGCATTTGTGCACTGGTGTCTTGACCCTGCTCAAGAGGTGACCCTGGTCTGTGCACCCCTGCAGACTTGCTGGCTGTCTACACAGGCCAGGGAGCAGACCGTCGATATGACTGGGAGATTTATTTCTCGAAGCAGCTATTGATGTTTTAAAAAAGGTTGAGGTATTGGAAATCTGCAAATTTGGATGATATTATTTTCTTGGCACATGAACATTCTTAAAAACTATAAAAGCTTCATTGTTGTTGGGAAAAATTAATCTTTTTAGCTCGGAACTTTTTTTTTTTTTTTTTTTTTGCCTACATTGGCTCCTTTGAAAATCATTGAAACATTTCTTTGCAGTGAAATAAAATACTCATACTACAAAATTCATCATTCTTAGAAAGGGTGTGATAAACAAATCAGTTCTTTAGGGTTTATGTGGTACCAGTTACTAGACACTTGGTTTTCCATCAATTTAAAAATTATTTTTAAAGTAATAGTTATGCTCTACCAATTGGCGCAGATCCTTCCATACGTGTCTTAAATTATGATGAATTCTTCCAAACTTTGACAAGTAGTTGTATAAAATTCTCTATTTCCTAGTACCTTGGGATGTTGGGATGGCTTTACTGTTTAGCGGTTGGCATACAGTGGTCAGCTCCTGTTTCCTGGAAGGTCAGAGTTCCAGTGTGGACTGCAGGAAGAGTGCAGTGCTCCTGGGGAGAATATGTGAGTTGTGGTCAAGTTGGGTGTGGTCGCTACAGGGATGCATGAGTGAGGCTCTGGCAGATTAGTCAGGACAGGCTTTATGGTATGTGTAGCTTTTACAGTTATTCTTTTAAGTGGGGAGTGTTGATTTTTATTTTCAAAATGTGCTTATAGCTACTGGTAACTTTTGATTTTAAATTAAGCTTAAGATGTATTTTTCTGTAGGATTCTGTTGCACTTTAAAAAGCAGTATGGTGCTGGAGATTCATGTATTTTGAAAATGGCTGCAGTGGCAGGACCAAAATAGATCAACACAGATGTGCTTGAAGGTTGAGTGGTTTCCTTTGGGCACTAACAAATAGGCATCAGAGTAACTGCCCAAATGCTTAGCATCATTGTTTCGGATTTGCCCACTTCAGATTTCAGTTGTATTTTTGCATATTTACTTATTGGACCAGATAGAAAAACAAAATAAAACAAAACACTGCTTGTACTTTCTTCCTTTTGCTCTGATCCTTCTCTGTCTTGACTTGCAGAACGCTCCTGAGCCTTTGGCAGCTGCTGAGACCCTGGCTGAGGTACCTGAACACGTGCTGCGAGGACTTCCGGAGGAAGTGAGGCTGTTCCCATCAGCTGTTGACAAGACCCGGATCGGTAAGTACTGCATTCAGAGAGATGGGCAGCAGAGCAGGCAGAGTCCTGTGGGAGCAAGTGAGGTGGCAGGCAGCACACCCGAGGGCAGTGGATTTGCCCTGACTTAAACTAGGCACACACCCACACCCCATCCTTGCTGACTCTTCCAGGCGTCCCCTGCATCTCCTGGGCTTCTTCCAACAGGATGTGTTGTTCTCTTCTCTCTGTCTTCACTGTGGCTTTTGTATGATCGTGTTATTATGCTTATTTCATTATTCTGTGGTTGTCTTTACGTCTGTCCCGGTCCTTGATAGTGAGTACCTTCATTTCTTACTTGCCTTTGTGTCTCCAGTACCAGCACTTTATGGACTCTCAGTAGATCTTTGAATGAATGACATGACCCCGGTGTGTCCGAATCTTCTGGTATGGTTTCTCATTGAATACAAACCAAGCTTGTGTGTATTGGGTTATTTTTATTTATAGAAGGCTAAGGAGGTAAATTTTAAAAATCCAATCAAAATGTCTTGGACTATATCATGTTTATATCCCATTTCTTTATTTTTTAAAGATGTACTTCTGATATTATAGTTTATATACATATGTAGTGAATAAATTTTTAATAAATGTTTTCCTAATTCTCATTGAAAATTTATTTGCTGAACAGTTAAGAGTGTTAATTTGGGGCTGGGTTGTGGCTCTGTGTTAAAGCACTTGCCCAGCATGTGTGAGGCACTGGGTTCAATCCTTAGCACTACATAAAAATAAACAAATAAAATAAAGTTGTTCTGTCCATCTACAACTACAAACAAAAAAAAGTGTTAATTTTGTATAAGTGAAAGGAATTAATTTTATAGCTCAGCATATTGTTTGCTAACTGCATGTCATGAAATGCAGTTCATAGCCGACCTACAAAAAAGTGGAATTCATATGTCCTCTCAGGACAGGACTGGCCCACCCTCTACTCCATTCTGTACATAAGGACACTGAGGTTAGAAAATGAGGGAGCCTGTACAGAGTGGCCCTGAGTGCCAATTTTCTTGACTCCCAGGCTGGGCTCCTGCTGATTCACCAACTTGCTTTTTTCATCGCATCCATTTGCTTATGATCTGTACACAGAAGATAGAAACAATCCTAGGCATACCTGGATGAGCATGCATTTTGATTGTTTGAAACTGTAAAAAACAAGTTGTCTCAGTAGCTACATTTTCAGGAAGTGTTGCTAGAGAGAAGAGGTTTTCCACTGTAAACAAATGAATGTCAAATGAATGTAAAAAATATTTGCTTATAAAATTACATTTCTAATTCTTTATAAAAACAAGTCATGTTTAGTGGAGAAAATTTGAAATCTGTAGAAATGTAAAATGAAGAGTTTTTTTATTTACTTGCATTTTGATACTAGGGTTTGAACATGGGAACATTTTACCATTGAGCCACATCCCCAGTCCTTTTTATTTTTTATTTTGAGATAGGGTCTCACTAAGTTTCTGAGGTTGGAACTTGTGATCCTTCTGCCTCAGCTTCCTGAGTTGCAGGGACTACCAGTGTGCACTGCCATGACTGGCATGAAAAGTTTAAATTGTTTTAGTTTTATTCCATTCTAATATCTTTTCTCTTCAGTTGTGATTGTTTTCGAAGTGTTTGTGATTGTACTATATGAGCAGTCTTACGTGGAAAAATTAAATATACAACTTTTTCTGGTTATAACACAATACAGGTTCTTTAAACCTATTTAGAAAATATTGAAAAGTATAAAGAAGAAAAATTAAAATCCCTATTGAGGATTTGATGTAATTTGATTTATCTCAGTTGATTTAACATTATCTTACTTTTAGGGAATCTAGCTTTTTAACTATTTCGTGAAATTGAATTGACTTCATTCAATGCTTTCAATCTTTAAAATAATCACAATACATTTAAAAATATTGATTTTATTTTCTAGGTGTCTGGGCCACTAAACCAATTTTAAAAGGCAAAAAGTTTGGGCCATTTGTTGGTGATAAGAAAAAAAGATCTCAGGTTAAGAATAATGTATACATGTGGGAGGTAAGAAAGAATTCTGGTTCTTTGTTTATCAGAGTTCTGTACATTTTAAAGACATCATGATCCTGTTCTCTCAGGTTTTCTCATTTTGAACTTAAAACAATCATTTTAATATGTTCTTTAAAATCAAGAATATTTTTATTAAAGAGAAAATGTGTTTCCTGGGTACAGACTTCTACTGATAACGTATTTTTGTATTTGAACCTGCTTGACTGTTCTCGACAATAAACGTCAAATTTGTTTTTTATTTTGACTGTCCAGGTGTTTTGCTTTGCAACTAAGACCTCAACTTCCTGTGTGGTGGTTTGTCACTTTACAGGTGTCACTAGATATATACCATAAAAGACTCTCCAAGTGGCTGCAAAGAAAACACTGGTTACTCTATATTTTAGAAAGTAATTTTTGTATCCTTGGAATACTTAGAATTGGTTATATTTAGCACATGGCACACTAAAAAGCATTTAATTTTTCGGAAGATTTTCATTCATTAATTTTGTGATCTCACAACAGTTCTGGAAAATGGAACAGGGCAAGAGCAGGCCCCTTTTAAAGGAGAACTAGCCAGGAAACAGGCCCGGGCTTGAGGAGTACAGATGCAGAGTCAGGAGCCATCTGTCCTACCTTAAAGTGGGGCATTTAAATTGTTGTCTTTCATTGACTGGGCTCAGATCCTGCTTCTGATTTCATGACTTTGAGCAGGGTACCTGACCTCAGCAGTGAAATCCTCAATTTAAACAATGGGGATACTAAAAGAAATCACATTAGGATAGTTGAGAAGACAAAAATTTGTCAGTGTCATTCTGTAGATATTCTGTGTGAATTCTGCACTTATGTTGATTGTAGTTCAGACCAGTGCCCTGTTCAAGCTCCTCAGGTATTGGAGGGTTGTGGTGTGACTCCTTTAAAAGCAAGTTAAGTTTTTTGAATAAGCATTCCATTAGGTTGTCTTAAATTGAATCACATCTGCTTCTCACATATTAACATCTGAAAGCCTGAAAGCAAAACATGGCTAGGAAATATTGGGCACTTCCTCCAGAAGTTCTGGGCACTGGGAGGCTTAAGATGTGGCTGTTTTTTCTAAGGCCATAGCAGTGTTCTTAACTTGGTCTGATGTTTCTCCATCATTTTGGGTTTGTTTCTTGAGAATCTTTTGTAATGCACCTCCTGAGAACTAACCCAGGGGCTTTAAGATAATTTGAGAGTCCTTGTGTTTTATCATTCAACTACTTCTGTGGTGAGAGAATTTTGTAATTGTAGGAAAACTGCCCAGGCAAAAAAGTCTTAATTACTGAAGAGAGTGCCTGTCTCTTTAAAAATGTCATTACCAGTGCTCCAAAATAAACTGTACTTTTAAATTTTAAAAGTTTATCAAGGGAAACTAACAAACATGCTCTACCAGGTTGAACACTAATCTCAGTGATGTTAAGGTACCAGCAAATGCTTGCTCTAGTTCTGTGTATGTAATGCCAAGTTTGAACAAATGCCATTCATATTAAGCTTAAGTTAAGGGCACCTATTTTTCCCAGTCTAACAATTTGTATTGTTAGGCATAATGTGTAAATGATTACTACTGCCTTATATGAATTTTGAGTTTGATTTGCACTGAAATTCATACATAGTATTGACTTGAAGTAGATTGTTGAAAAATTGTGATTTGGAACCATGAGATATTAGGGACTCACTTTCCACTCTGAACTTGTTACTCCTCCGTTGTTAATTTAAGACACTTGTACTTACATACTAGTCATAGTTTGTAAATTCTTATAATGGTGCCAGTTCTCTTCTGTCAGGCTTAAGGATTTGGTTGTTAAGGCTGGCTTTCTTTTTCAGCAATTGAAATTGTAGGATCTCATTCACTTAGTTCCCACCATAGGGTGTATTTTTGATATAACGGACTTTAGGCCTCTTGTTTTTTTAAACTCTTTAAAAAATAAAGGTGTAGGGGTTGGGGTTATATGTAGCTCAGTTGTAGAGTGCTTGCCTAGTACGTGTGAGGCCCTGGGTTCGATCCTCAGCATCATATTAAGATAAATAAATAACATAAAGGTATTGTGTCCATCTGTAACTACAAAAAATATTTTTTTAAAAAATAAGGTATATGTATATATACACCTGCACGAGATATACAAGTATGCATGTGATGAACTATAGGAAATATAGGTTATAATGTATTGAAAAGATAAAAATGTAGTATTTTTCCATTTATTTATTCCAATTCTGGTCTTGTTCTCAGACTTGCATCAGAATGTCTCTAATGTAACAAGTGCTCATCGTCAGACTCTTATCTTGGTATGTGTTTTTCCATCAAGGCCCCTTAAACTGGCTTAGAACTCTTATTTTAAAGCTAGTCTAAGGCAAAGTGTTAAATTGCTTTTCTGGAGCCCTTGATAATCTAACCTGGACTGTGTCCTCTAAGCTTTTACTGAAAATATTCTACTGAGTCAGAAATAACAGGAGAAAAGCTGTAGAGTATGCTCAGGGTGAATGCACAAAATAGGTGCTCAGAAGAGGAGAGTGCGTTCTTCACTGTTTCTGGTGGGGAACGTTAGTGAACTGGCAGGCGGGGCTGTGTGCAGTATTCCTCTCAGCTACCCCAAGTGTGGAGCAATCTGCAGTGTTTTGAAACCACTTCTGATAAAAGCCTTCCCACTTGACTTCTGTGGTACTCAAATTACTTCTAGTGAGCAGAACTTTTGAATTGCTTGAATGAGAATTCTTTTAATATGTCTGTTTGTTAAAGAGACTTAATTTTTTACAGCAGTTTTAGTTTCACAGAAAAATTGACCTGAAAATATAGAAAAGTTTCTATCCTGTTCTGTTTCATGTTGCCATAATAAAATAACACAGACTGGGCAATTTATAGATGCTTTTTATTGGCTCACAGTTCTGGGGGCCAGGAGGTCTAAGATCTAGGAACTACATGCTGAAGGGCTTCTTGCTGCCTCACAGTGGCCAAAGGCATTGCAGGGCATTGAGCTCGCATCATCCCATCAGGCTCTTCCTCTCAACACTGTTGCATTGGGGATTGAGTTTCCAACTCATGCTTTTGGGAGTTGCTCTCAAACCTTAATTTCCACCCCCACATTCTACACAAGCACAGCCTTCCCCACCATGAGTACCTCACACCAGACTGGGCCACTCATGACAGTTGTTGAACCTGCCTTGGCACATGTTTATCATCCAAAGTTCTTAATTTATGTTAGGCCTCACTCTTGGTGATGTACATTCTAATAAGTCTTTTTTTTTTTTTTTAACTTTATACATTCTCATTGCAAAATCAATTAAACAGTACAGAAAAATAAACAAGAAGGTAAAAATTATTCCATCTCCTGGCACGCAGGTATAACCACTGTGAATGTCTTGGTGAACGTTCTTTTAACTCTGCTTTTCTGTCTGCTTTTTAAATGTCTCTCATATGGTGGGTGTATCATTACATCTGGCTCTTTTTTTTTTTTTAATATTTATTTTTTAGTTATCGGCGGACACAACATCTTTGTATGTGGTGCAAAGGATCAAACCCAGGCCGCACGCTTGCCAGGCCAGTGAGCTACCGCTTGAGCCACATCCCTAGCCCCCTGGTTCTTTTTAATAGTTTTTAAAAACCTTTCTTATGGATGAAATCTGATAATTCACTCTTTCTGTTTGTTTTATTCATTCAGGCAAAATTTGAGTCAAGAGGATGAAGGGAAATAGTAGAATTGCATGTCAATTAAACTTGATAGAGAAATGACTCTGAGATGAGAAGACTTTAATTTTTTAATGAAGTGAAAACACTTTTTATTAGTCAGCACCATTACGATTAATTAAATATTAGCAAGTGTGTGTCATAAACCTTGCTATCTCAATTCTTTTAATTTCAAGTCACTTTTAAGTTAAAATTGCATGGAAGAAGAAAGAGCGGAGAGAAGTCAGCTTGCTGATTCTGCAGAACCTTTTTTCAGAAAGGGTCAGTGAGCCCTTACAGCTGCTTTCCAGCCTCTTAACCTGTGTCAAAGCAGCCTCCTAGGAAAGGTCTGGATCTTTGGGGGAGTCCAACCTGCCCCCTGTTTTTTAAGCCCTGGAGTTACTAGGTTTTTTACATTTTTTAATGGTAGGAAAAAATCAGACGTTTTGTGACACATGAACATTTTGTGAAATTCAAATTTTAGTTCATGAGTAAAGTTTTATTGGAACATAGCTCTGTTCATTTGTTTACATGTTATCTGTGGCTGCTTTTGCCCCATAATGGCAGAGTTAAGCAGTGGCAACAGAGACTGTGTCTGGCCTGCTAAGCAGAAAATATTTTTTGCATAATCCTTGATGGAAAAAGTATGCTGAACCCGCCTGGTGTGTGAGGAAGAGGAGGATAGGAGCGAGCGAGCTAGCTAGCGTGGAAGTGCCTGGTGTTAAACGTTCAGTGAATGGTGCTGGGAAGTGGGATGGCTGCAGAGTTGGTTGTCATGGAAACAACTGAGCCAATCACATTCTTCTGTCAGGAATTGCAGGACAGATGAGGACATTGAAGTACAGAGGATTAATTGATATTTCTGAGCAAGTCAACTGTGCTCAGATTGTCAGCCTGGTCTAGGACAAAAAGGAATTTCTCTTTGGGATCTTATTATTTACCTATTTAGTGCCTATCTGTTAAGCTTTTACCAAATACCAGGCCCTGTCCTAAGTTCTGGAACATAGGGCTTGGTGTATAACTTTTGTCTTGTTATGAACTACTGGCGATACCTGATATCTGATGACATGTTCATGGAATGAAGGACTACCAGAAATAACCTAAATTTTACCACAAATCAGAAATTCTTGACCTCCTGGCCTGCTGGATGTCTGTAAGCTGGTAGCCCTGGAGTCACATCAGGAGCCACCTTTGGTTGCCTGTGCAGTTCTCTTCCCGTTGGCAAAGAGCATCCCGCAGATATGGCAGCACATCATGGCGAGCACACATGTAGGAACAAAACAGTCACATCTCAGACCTCAAACCAGAGCAGAGGGGGAGGGGACCGCAGGGCCCCACA